CAATTTCTGTGTGAAAATGGTTTCTTTGTTAGCGAACTAGGATTAAACATTTAAAATATAATACATTTACATTTATGCATTTAGCAGACGCTTTTATCCAAAGCGACTTACAGTGCATTCAGGCTATACATTTATTTACCAGTATGTAATAAAAATAATTGAATAAAGTATGAAAATAATAAAAATGATAAATCAATACAATATAATATTTTAAATATATTATCATTTTAGTAGTAGTAGTATGAAGTATAATAACAACAATAATCATCATTTTAAAAATGAAACAACAACAATACTTATATAAAGTATAACAATAATGATAACAATAATAATAATATAAAGTATAACAATAATGATAACAATAATAATAAAATACAACAATACAATATTTAAAACAATATAATCATATAAAGTATTACAAAAACAATAAAATATAATTTTATAACGTATACTATTCATAGCTATAACAATAGTAATAAACATTTATTATAAGATAATAATAATAATAATAATAATTATTATTATTAATTGTGTCCAAAGTTTTTTTTTTATTCTCTGTGGTTTTAGAAAACAGATTTTTTAAATAAAGGGAGCATTTCCTTTTTTTTTTTTTAAGAGACAATGACAAAAAAAAAAAGTTTTTGTTGAACCTGATTTTAAAAAAGAGAAAACTTTATATAGCACATTTATGTCTTTGTTGTTTCTAATTTTTAATACAAATTATATATTTATCAAGAACTAAAATGTCATACCTAACCTGTTATTTGAAATAGCTATTTACTGTAGAAGAAACTGTCATGTTTGTTTGCTGATGAAGAATTATGGTAAAATGTTGTCAGATGCAGTAGCTTCGTACACTGAACAAAATTATAAACGCAACACTTTTGTTTTTGCCCTGTGAGGTGGATGGATTATCTCGGCAAAGGAGAAGTGCTCACTAACACAGATTTAGACAGATTTGTGAACAATATTTGAGAGAAATATGCCTTTTGTGTACATAGAAAAAGTCTTAGATCTTTGAGTTCAGCTCATGAAAAATGGGGGCAAAAACAAAAGTGTTGCGTTTATAATTTTGTTCAGTGTATGAAATCTCACAGTGTTTTAGAGGTTTTCCCGCTGTTACATGTCCGTGTAAATCACTGCTCCGTCTCTTTGGTAGTATTGAAGGAGAGTACGTTCCTGTGGAGGGAGACGAGGTCACGTACAAGGTCTGTGCGGTCCCGCCCAAGAACGTGAAGGTCCAGGCCGTGGAGGTGATCCTCACGCACCTCAAAGCAGGAACCAAACACGAGACCTGGTCGGGCCAGATCATCAGCCCCTAGGATCCGGCTGGAGCAGGACTGCGGGGAGGCAGGAGGGTGGGCTTTCCCGGAAGAGAGAGCAATGCATCGTGGGAAGGCTTTTGAAAGTTGAAGGGTGCAGAGAATGTTGAGTTCAGCAGAACGAGCTGCGTTACGGGAACGTTTAGATCTGAAACAGACTCTACGCAAGTGCACACATGCAAATATTTCTAATAATTGCACACGATCTTGTGATCCGAAGCATCTCCGAATAAACATCGCATTCGCAACGGTGTCACAGAAGTTTTACGTAGAATTTGTTTCTGGTTAAATGAGTCATCTGTAGGTGTGAGAGACTGAGATGATGGCTGAACATCCTCAAATCAAACGCATCGATCCAGTGGCACACGCTACACTTGTGGCTGTTTTTGGCACTTATATTTATTTATGCATTAATTTTTGATGTTAAATAGATGGAAACAGGGTGAATCTCACAAAACCTGTCCAGAACGTATCATATTCACATTTACAGTCATATTCACCCCAAAATCAAAAGGAAAAAGTAAGCAATTATGTCTTGCATAAAGACTATTTTCAGGACAATTTAACACATTTACCCCCAAATTCATAATACTGGAAAATAATAATAATTTGTAAAGCATTTTACAGCATTGTGCATTTTAAAGCATCATAAATTGTACTTGTTGTACTGACTTTAAGCATTTAGATGCATTTTATTCATGCATTTTACTGATTTTAATTTAAAAAATCACGAGAATCATTACTGAGAATAAAAATAATGACTAAAAACGTGGTACAGCATTCATTGTTTTACTTATAGCAGTTAGAAATTAGGGGGTAGATGCTTCATTCTCATGAAAGTCACAACGCAAAAAAATCAGAATGATCCTAAAACTAACCTTAATTTTTTTTTATGCTAAATATTTTTCATTTGATTTCAGGGTGAAATATGAATCAGACGTAAACATGATCTTGGCAGGTTTGGAGGGTTTCGTCCATTAAGCTCTGCTATATATGCTGGAACTGAAGCATCATGGACTAATATTGCACTTGAAACTTGAAAAACCCCAAATATAAACTGCCAAACTGACTTCATCTCCCAGAACTCTTTCTCGGGAGCTTTTCAGGGTAAATCGAGCAGCATTTTGTAGACCAGCTGAAGAACAACAGTCGTCTAGCAAAACCATTTAAACACAGCAGTAGCAACTTTAATGATCTTGTGTTGTTTTTCCTGTATGTATGTATGTGTTGCGTTATTTGTTTGGTCTCTTGATCTGTAGCATGTTCTTCAGTTTGTCTAGTGATTTGATCGTCAGATTTCTACGCTTCTGAGCCCTCATTGTTTGTTTGTAAACGTCATGTTTATTTTTAGCACTTTTTAGAGCTCAGATCACTGTGGTCGACGTCATTTCCATGTGAACATTGACGGACTAATAAAATTAATTTATGATTTACACATTTGTTTCTTACTGCAAAGCACATGACATTATTAATCATACAGAAAGGTAGGCTAATAACACATGCACATTCAAAAAATATACATTAAACATCCATAAACAGATCAGACTCCATTGCAATATGAAAAAGTTGTATTTAAAACGAACAGACTTGTTCATGATTCATCACCAGGCATGTTAGCATTTGCATTTCACATGGATATATTTTTGAACCACGAAAATCCCTTTACTGTTTCAGTTTTTCCTTTCTTCGGGAGTGTTAAAACTTTACTTTAACGTGTAACAAATTAACAGATAAAGATACTCACTAAATGAGTTTGTTTACTAGAATTAAAGTCACAATTTCTTCAATCCAGCACCGTTTACATCATTAGTGTAATTTTATGATATGATTCAATTCAAGTTAAAGTGCATTTATGCGATCAGACATGAAGCAACGATACATTTACATTCATAGCATACGCTCAAACACACGACGGATTCTGAATAAAGCAATAAGCCCCAAGAAGCCGCTTCACGTCGTGCCTTAGCCGTTATAAATTCACTGTAAACCACGGCTTCACAGGGGTTATTGCTTTTATAAAACGGTTATTCCATATACGTAGTAAGGTTTCACAGAATAAAACAGAGCAAATAAAGTGTAATGATATTAATAAAAACAGTATTCCTCCACCAAACAGTGTAGTTCCTCAGAAACAGTTGTGGTTCCAACAAAGTGGTTGCCGAATGTTTGTAGAGTAATTTACAACAGCTTCGAACTTGGCTCAGCCAATCAGAATCAAGGACCGGAACTATCCGTTTTATAATTAGAAACACTTGATGTCCGATTAAGAAACGGTCAACGTAAGAAAGGTCTTAATAAAAAAATCCCTGGAAATCAGTGGGATCAGCATCATGTTTTCAGGGATCAACGATGCTGGATTCTCTCTGGAATGATAATATCACATGTAAACTGATTCGTAATCTTAACCACGCTAAAAGAGAGCGATGCGACACACCTAGATCAACTATTAATTAACTTCGCGTTAGATCAGATTTTGTCGTTTCGGTCCGTCATTCATTCATAAATATGCAGATTTTTCATCATCTTGTAAAAATCTCAGAGTCAATCCGAGATCAGAGCCACATTCAACTACAATCACAAACATCTCAAATAAGATCACGAGACCATAATAAAACTTAAGCTTAACACTTAACGTGGAACAGACAGAACTGATCACTCGTTTCATCACGTTGCGATTGGTCAGAGACACAGTGGTTACGTTCACACTGCAGTTCCGATGTCTGATTGGGTTCATTAAAGCCACGTTCACACTACAGTATTTTAAGCCTGATTTGCAAGTTAACGAGCTCACCGACAGGTCGGGCTGCGATCGGGGGGAAATCAGCGGGTGATCAGCGCTCGGCAATCTTTATGTGTGAACTACTGAACGATGCATCAAAGAGGCTCGCTGACAAATGAATATCTAGCATGCTAAATATCTGGAGCTGTCGGCCGACTCGTCGACATCCTGTGGTTTCACGACGAGCTACAGCCAATGAAAAACAGCAGCATAACATGGCTTAAGGGTTTAACATGGTTTAAAGTCATTGACTTTACACAAGTGACAACCGAACTCCTGAATATTTCACTCAGTGACAGCAGCATTTGTATAGAATCTGAAACTCTTAACTGTTTTGGACACCGAAGGCTCGTCTGAGGTGCTAGAAAACCACAGAAACAGGTGTGTATCTCACAAGTATCTCACAAAACAGGGCTGCAACCATTGCAGACATCCGATTAATGATCAGATATGGCCAAATTTGTCTCTGATATTCTGCTGCTCAGCTGCACTCTATTGCTCTGTTTATTGTTAGGATGAGAAAAGTGTTTATTTTTTGTGCTCTGCGTATAAAGGCACTCGTCAATGTCAAATGATTGAGATGGCCAATCAAATCAAAGGAGGCGGGGTTTACCATTCAAAGAAGCCGAGCTGATCAGTTTTAACGGCTGAAAAATGTGACGTAAGATGTAGGCTACAGCTAAACATTAATATCCGTCAACTGTTGTAGGACAGAAATGCTAATCGACCGACAGTATTACGCACGTAAGCAAACTACTCAACGTTTTGTCAGATTTCATGCGTTCGAGTAATGTATTTTGTAATAGCCCATATGACCAAACGAGCAGTTCTGTGGAGTGGATGCGTGAATATTTTAAAATAAAACAGTTTAAATGCATTATTTTACAATAAGTTGTAAATACAAATTTTCATTATTCCCTTAAATGTCTTTAAATTGTTTAATTCCTTTAAATATATAAAGCACCATTATGTGACGGAGCACACGAGGTAAACAGAAAAGCAAACGCCACTTACTAATTACTGATAGCTAATGTTACTTTGGTTAAAAAGATGAGTTAAAACAGCTAGTTTACAGCGTTGAGGTGTCAAACAGTGCACTGTCAATCATCATAATTTCTGGATTGAGTCCTGTATTCTTTCATCATTCAGAGGATTCACTGTATTTTAAAAACAGTTGTCACTCCAGAAATGTTGCAGTGTGAATGTAGCCACAGTAAAACGCTTTTTATTATGAAACAAGGCGAAATCTTTTGATTTAAAATTAATATTTGTACAAGAGCACACACTGATGAGGCCCTGTCAGTGATATTTACATGCAATCCCTTCAGTCTGCAGATCAGCAGTGGATTGGTTTGATCTCCATGTGTGATGGCTCTCAGGCTTTGCCCACAGTGACCAGCAGTGGGCGCAGGAGCGCTGCACGCAGGCAGTCGCAGCCGCTTTCACGCCTCATTGGGTGGAGCGTTAACGAACATCTCCCTGCAGAGCCTCGCTGTGTCTTCAGGGGAGCAGACGGTGAAACCGATGGTACGAGGGTCCTCGAAGATCTCGTAGTCATTTCCACCCTGATCCGTGAGCAAATATTAAAAATAAATAAATTTAAACACACATTAATACAGATACACAGCCATTCAATTACGCACCAACGAAGTTTCGTTGCCGAAAAAGTAGATGTCGTCCAATCCTTCCTGTTCCAGGACGTCCAGACAGAGGCGTTTGTCCCAGCCCTCCGGGAAGATGTCGAAACTGATCAAACCCCCTACAGACAATGACAAAACCCACAATTAAGAGACAATTTAAGAAAAGATTCATTTAACATTGGTGTAACCTTGAGCATCAACTTTGCATTCATTTTACACATGAGTATCAGTTTATCTACAATGCCAGAAGCGTTTTTCCAGATAATGTTCAGTAAAGTTTTTAGCCGTTCGCAAACTTCTACCAGTTTTATCCAGTAAATTAGATGCCCTCATACCAAACCCTGCCTTCCTAACACGTGCCAGCCGATCTGATGCCAGCAAACCTGAGCATGTAAATGAATGACAGGTACACAGTGGTTTTGATTGATTAATCAAATGCAGGCTGCTTCTCTGACTCAGTTGCATTGTTTACAAAGCATTAACCCTGTAAATAATAGTCCAAAAAAATACATTTTTAAATGGAACTATTTTTGAACCTTTAGAAAAAATCTATAATAAAGAAAGTTTGCATATGTGTTTTTGTTGAGTATCATTTGATCCATCAGGCTTTTATGGCTCATATAGTATGACACAGAGGCAGACTTACCCATTAGGCAAAGGTAGGCGACCGCCTTGGGCCCCCAAAAGCCATGGGCCCCCTAAAATGCTTTTCATCTACGAGATGCGCATTAAGCGCGGACACGCGGACGGTTGCTTTTTACGATGTTTATCACCACGACAACCGTCTGCGTGTCCGAGTTGAACACACTTCTCGTGTATCCTGCTTGTAGCAAATGAAAAAATCATGCACCTGAAGCTGTAATTAAATATTGAGCACCAGTGCGTATTATATGTTTATTGTTTTAAATGCTGCTTACTTATTCATAAGAACCCAAGTAGAGGACGCATACGTAAATGTATAATTTCTTTTTCATTTTCATTTAAATTTGTGGTTAAAATCGTATTATATGTTTATTGTTTTAAATGCTGCTTACTTATTCATAAGAACCCAAGTAGAGGACGCATACGCAACCAACCGGTTGATATAGTCCTTAGGTGTGTAAATGTATAATTTCTTTTTCATTTTCATTTAAATTTGTGGTTAAAATAACTAAAATAATTGTATTTTAAATTTTATTATTAAACAGCAGAGAATCAATGTGCATTTTCAATAATCACGTCTGCAGTTTTTGTTCAGACCAATGTGAAAATCCACCCACATAACCCCGTTTTAAATTAATATCATAATTTATACTTCCGACTCATCTCTTTTCTTAAAAAATAGTTTAAAGGCTCAATTGTGAAGTTTATCATTTTATAATTTATTTTGTTTTTGTGAAAACTGTAAGTCAGTTGCTATTTCGTGGTCTACAACATGAAAGAAAGCCATTATAACATGTACATGAAAAATGTAGAAACATTGGACACAACTGTGGGGCACCATTGTGCAGCAGCAAGCATCACAACAAAAAAGGAACCTCAAGGCTAAATTTGTAAATGTGTGCAAATACATAGGGCCCCATTCATATATTTTGCCTGGGGCCCCCAAATCACTAAATCCGCCCCTGGTCTGACACAGTGAAAATATGTGGGGGAAAATACCTCGATTTTATTCAGAGGCCCAAACTGAGGAAATATATGCAGATGCAGATGCTGATATTTAAATCGACAAAAAGTATGAAATTCAAATGCTTGTAATGTAAATCAATAAGATCTTTGTAACAGTATAGCAGATAAATGAAATTATATTAATACCGGTCATCACTATATATCTCACAACAATGTCTTAGTAAGATGAGACTTAAATGCTTAGTTTTATGATCAAAACATATAAAGCAATGCAATACAATGATTGAGAGATGAACAAATAAACGTTTCTCAAAAGCCTGACGGATCATATTTGAGACTCACTTATTTTTCTAAAAAATGATAACTGAAAGCTAAGCTGCTTCAGTCCAGTAAGTGTTCATCTTGAAATATCACTAACAATATCAAAGTTATTACTTTATAAAAAAATCACTAAAGATTTCACAAAAAAAAAAAACATTAAGCATGAGCTGAAGGTGGACATTTGTGCAGGTACTAAAAGAGCTTTTACTTGCTAAGTGTCTGAACTATCAATCAGACGACAGAAGGCATGCAGTAGATTGTGTGCAACAGGTTTTTCAGCAAAGTTTAAAGGGGTCATATGATGCGATTTCAATTTTTCCTTTGTCTTTGGAGTGTTACAAGCTCTTGGTGCATAAAGAAGATCTGTAAAGCTGCAAAGACTAAAGTCTCAAATCCAAAGAGATATTCTTTATAAAAGTTAAGAGTCAGCCACACCTACCTAAAACGGCTCGTTCGAACACGCCCCCACATGTCTACCTCACTATGTGGGAAGATTTGCATAACGCCGCCCAAATGTTCACGCAAAGAAAGAAGGCGTAACTTTTATTCTCGCTGTAGTATTGTTGCTGCCGCCGCCATGTCGTGAAGGCGCTGTGTGATTCATTGTGAAAGCAAAACTACTTTGTTTGGTCTTCCAAAAGAGCGCGTTTCAGAAAGGCGGGGCATAGAGGAGAAACAATAATGTACAGTGTGTGGAAAATAATGTGTTTTTTTAACTTTAAACCGCATAAACACATTTCATTACACCAAATACACAAAATAATGTTCTTTTTAGCAGCAGCATATGACCCCTTTAAGACCTTAGAAATAAGCGTATCACATATGATATAGTAGGTTTTATAGGGTTAATCTGTCATTTTATGTGTGTTCCTCCAAAATAAACCCTTCCAGTGGCATTAAAGCAGCAGTGAAACTGCAACCTATTACAGAGAGTTTAACGCGTTTACAAGCCCCGAGGCTCATTCTCACAGTAATGACCATTTTAGTGTGTGAGACGGTCTGTCTTCAGAGATGTGAACCGCATGACTGTTTGTCCTCAGAGTGATTGAGAAACTCTGTAGGACAGAAATCAGCCATTAAAAATTAATTATCTTCACACACACAGACGTTCATTAGTGTCCCTCCACTGACTGCATCGACATTCTAGCACTGACTCAATGGTTGCTAAAGAAACAGCCAATCAGACTGCTTGATCATCTCACACCCCCAAAAAAAGAAAAAACAAAGCCAGTGTGTGCGAAACTGAGCTGAACTTTAGAGGCAAAACTGCTGGAAATTGACTCCAGACGTCAAAGCTAATGCACCTCTTTCTTTGTGTGTATGTGTGTGTTTTCTCTCATGGGTCATTGGTCTGTCAACACACACACGAGCGCATCCGTTCGCTTATCACATTTAACACAGATAACGTGCGTGTGTGTTTTATGTGCTGTGCAGGTACAAACAGCTCTGTTTCAGCATGCATCATTTGCTTCGGATCATCAGAGAGCTGGTGATGTCATTTCCTGCTCACCTCTGGTGAACCGCAGACCTTTTCCTGCAAACTCCTCCTGCAGAGCCGCCACAAACTTCTCTCGTATCTTCTCTCTCTGCGGGACGGGAGAGTTTGGATTATTTTAAATGTGCGCTTAGGTTCATTAGGGTGTTAAATCAAAACTATCGATTTGTATGGACCGGTTCACACCAGAAACACAAATCGTCCAATGACAACTGTCCGACTTGTTTTACTCTGGGTGTAAAAAGACCTGAGGATTTCATGAGAACAAATCCTCAACCTTTGGCCAATTCTGGAAAAATAACACAGTTCTTGTAAACTGAGAATACCTTGTCGATCTCAGAGAACTCGATTCGTTCTTCGAGCGTGCAGCTGCGTCCGATGGGTGAGATGTTGATCATGCCATTACGAAACTCAATGAACGTCCCTCTGAGAGAGAGATTTGGTTTAAATGATTACATTTGGTAATGACATTACAGGTGATCACACATCTCTGGAGTGTGTGTAATTGTTACCGTTTCTTGGGTAGTTTGATGAGCCCCATGTAACTGAGACAGAAGTTGATGAGGTCCTGCAGTAACTCCTCCCCCAGATGATTCTGAATGGCCTGAGAAACAGATTGAAAAATTAAATAAGACACTTTAGAGAATTCAAGACCAATTTTGTATCAACACAGAGACTAAAAAAAATTAAATAAAGACGACATTTTAAAGAGTTTCACTTAAAGTTCTACAAAGAATTCCAATTTGGACTTCTATGAACTTCTAAAGAACTTCTGTGATATTTGAAATATTTAGCACATTTTAAAGGGGTCATATGATGCTATTTTAAAGATCATTATTTTGTGTATTTGGTGTAACAGAATATGTTGACATGCTTTAATGTTCAAAAAACACATTATTTTTCAAATACTGTACATTATTGTAGGTCCTCTATGCCCCGCCTCTCTCAAACGCTCCGTTTTCTACAAAGCCCCCTCGTTTTGACAAGCGCATATTGTAGTGATTGGCCAGCTGACCCAGTGCATTGTGATTGGCCGAACACCACAAGCACGCGTCGGAAATGTAACGCCCCTTACCATAATCGCCAGCTTCAGCTTTCAAAGTAAATATCAAGACAGATAATAATGTCGTTAGTTTTACCATCAGTTCAAGCCCGAAAGGGCAACAGAGTCGCGTGACAGACACAGTGATGATGCAGTACACAAGCCGCGGTTAAGACAGCTGACGTGCTATGATTTCTGACAGGCAGTTCACTCTCCTGTGATGTGACCCTGTTCCCCTCACACACACACACACACACACACAACGCGTTACTCTGCGCTGCGCAAAACTCCGCATTTGAACAGTCAATAGCAAATACTTAAACTAATAACAAAACATACTTACAGTCGCTGATTCAGAAGCGCCAGATTGTCATAGCAAAGTCGGAATTGCCCCCTTTTTTTTTTATTTTAGAAATAGCCTTTGTGCACAGCCAGCCTTGTACTCTTCTAGGTTCAAAAAACTGTCGTCCATAAAATGCATTGCACAAATTCGAACATCTGGGTTGTGCTGTTCTGTTGTAAATAAATCTTAACCAATGATTCCTAATTGCATCTACTTCCGGAAGGCCAAATAAAGTGCTTTTGCTTTCGCACTGAAACACAGCGTCTCCCTGACATGGCTGCATCAACACGACTGCGTTCCTGAAACCACGCCTTCTTTCTTTGCGTGCACATTTGGGCGGCATTATGCTAATATTTCCACATAGTGAGGTAGATATGAGGGGGCGTGTTAGAACGAGCCGTTTTAGGTAGGCGTGGCTGACTCTGAACTTTTATAAAGAATATCTCTTTGGATGTGAGACTTTAGTCTTTGCAACTTTACAGATCTTCTTTATGCACCAAGAGCTTGTATCACTCCAAAGAGAAAGGAAAAATTGAAATCACATCATATGACCCCTTTAATATTTTCAGGATCTACAGACACACATAATCAATCACCTGTTTGGAGATGAGTTTGCCATCTTTGTATTGCACGGTTCCATTTTCGGCGAAGACGTAGTCAAACTTGTGTATGACTGCAGAGAGAAAGAACATAACAACACAACAGAATGAGACGCAATCAAAGCACTCTGTTCAGCATATCTTATCATCATCCTGATGACCTTTACTTGTGTTACACAACACACATACTGATGTAAACAAGCTCATTTACACTCAGAGAGCTTCAGTGCTCATTCTGATTCATTCAAGACCCACAGTTTGATCACTGACTGGATGACTTGATGTCAAAGTCACTTTAACTCACATCAGATCCAGGTTCTGCTCTAATCTGAGTGTGAATGTGGTTGGATTCGGTTCTGGAGTGTACTGTTCTCAGTCTGATTCAATCCGGATCTCTTGGTTTATCTAATCAGAGCTGCACAATTATAATGACAACGCCAATCATCAAACGCTGATGACACTATAAACTGATCTAGATAAATGATAAGATCTAGAGAAAAGTCAAACAGAGAGTCGAGACTGAAATTAACACCCACAGGTGAGACAAAACCACACATCAAAAATACACAAACATATCAACTTGTCTTCTAGACAGCAATCAAATTAACATTGTACATTCATGCATTTGGCAGATGCTTTTATCCAAAGCGACTTACATTGTATTTAAGGAATAGATTTTATCATGCATTCAACGGGAATCAAACCCATGATCTCTGTGTTTCTGTCTCCATACTGTTAGATCATGCCTCCATGCCAGAAATATCAGATCCAGCCCCGGATGCCAGATCCTGTCAGAAAATATCTGTTTTATCTGATGACAGAACAGCTAGTCAGCAAAGATGTCTAATATCCTGGTACTCAAAATTGTATTAACAGTCTTCTATCAGCCAAGAAGCCAGAGAAGAGCAGAAGCAGGAGACAAAGTGATGATGATAAAAACAAAAGCAGTTTATTGAATAATCTTAGTTGCGTATGTTTCAATGCTCAGACTATCATAAGATTAAACAACAATAGGAAAATACTAATGTAATATAAATGACTAATCAATGAACGAATAAATGGAATGAGTGTATAAATGGATCAAATGATTATTATAAATGATTATATGATCAAATGGAATAATAAAGAAATAAATGAATGAATTAATGAATAAATGAAACAACACAAATGTATGTTGCTCTCTTGAAGCAACACACACACACACACACACACACACACAAGTTGCTACAAAGAATCCTTAGATCCTTCAATACTCTACTCCAAATGCTTCTCAGATGTTCCTCCCAAGAAAAAAAGAAAAAGGTAATCTCACAAGCATCTCCTCTGAAGTTTCATAAGAAGTCTCAAGAATGTCTCAAACTGTGCTCATCGAAAGTCTCAATAAGAAATCAAACATTTCTCACTAAACTCTCCTTTGTCATCATTCGCATTAATCTGAGACAAGGCTTATAGTTTAGAGAAGCATAACTGGGAACTAAGCCTTCTGAGATTTAAAGACGCAACCTGTGAGCAATAATTTGTTCAACCGTGGTAGTGACGTCTACTGGTATTGATTTCCTAACTTTTTCTCCATTCCAGTGGTCACAGATGAATTTCACAAAGGAATTATGGGATATCAGCTGTTGTGTTGATGTCTGAGTTGACTCAGTGATCCAGTCAAACCAGCTCCTCCACATTCTGCATCTGACGCAATATCCAAAACCCATTAAACACATGTTTGGTTAATGATCCTAAAGACTCGTGACCGTCTTTAGGGCGGATCATGAAGAAATGTATGATTCTCACCTTCATCTCCTTCTCCGAGCTGTTCTGCGATTTTGGAATAATCTGAACCACCCACCACGCCGATCTTCACCTTCTTTCTCAAGGCCTGGAAAAAATCGTCCAGATCAGGGTCGATCTTCTGCAGACACACGCACAGAGTTACATCACTGTAGGGTTGCTGCTGTGACCTGTGGCCTCAGTGCCCCTGAAAACTGATTTACGACTCCATTAAAGGGGTCATATGATGCTGCTAAAAAGAACATTATTTTGTGTATTTGGTGTAATGAAACGTGTTTATGCGGTTTAAAGTTAAAAAAACACATTATTTTCCACATACTGTACATTATTGTTGCTCCTCTATGCCCCGCCTTTTTGAAACGCGTCGATTTTTACAAAGCTCATCGGTCTGAAAAAGCGAGGTGTGCTCTGGCCATTGTAACACTCCAAAGAGAAAGGAAAAATTGAAATCACATCATATGACCCCTTTAAACAGTGGCATGCAGCTGTTCAACAGGTTTCAGAGTATTTTTGATCAGGGAACACACTTTGGGTAGACTAAATAGTCCAAATACGTTGACTATTCTTGTAAAACATCATGTCTGCAGCCCTGTGTAGTATACTTTACATTTATGTTTTCAGCAGACGTTTAAGTGCACGTTAGTCAGATTAATGGCAGTGTTGTTTACTGACTGGTTGCGTAACGAAACGCTCTTGTTTTTCTGTCAGAGCTGCAGACTGTCATACACTCACGCTAGCACTGTACAGTAAGTCATATCGTCTGTGATTCATAACAGTGTGCTAGGAGGGGAATATGAATAGACATTTTAATAAACGTATAAGAAAACTCCCAGGTGTTTAAAGGGGTCATATGATGCTGCTAAAAAGAACATTATTTTGAACAATACTACAGCGAGACTAAAAGTTACGCCTTCTTTCTTTGCGTCAACATTTGGGCGGCGTTATGCAAATCTTCCCACATAGTTAGGTAGACATGTGGGGGCATGTTAGAACGAGCCGTTTTAGGTAGGTGTGGCTGACTCTGAACTTTTATAAAGAATATCTCTTTGGATTTGAGACTTTAGTCTTTGCAGCTTCACAGATCTTCTTTATGCACCAAGAGCTTGTAACACTCCAAAGAGAAAGGAAAAATTGAAATCGCATCATATGACCCCTTTAATGAGGGAGTTTAAGAGCATCATGAAGGTGTGGCCGATGAACAATTAAAGGGGTCATGAACTACATTTATTATTATTATTAATTTATAATGTTCTCTGAGGTTCACTTATGCTAGTGTGATTTTATATATATATATAAAAAGAGAGAATTAAATTTGCGACATGACGAAACAGTGCTCGCGTCCGATCTAGATATGTTAGGATCACAAGGAAGGCAATTCAAAGACTATTTTTCATAACTTACACTACACAGTGTCTTGTAATCTTGTAATGTCATCTGTATGGTTCTGTTGAAGTAATCCTGTGTTTGTGTCTCTAGTATTTCCTCTCCTCTACTACAAGCACGTATCAGTGGGCGGAGCTAAAGAGGCAGTGGTGTAGAAGCAGGCGTTGATCTTTCCTGCGGAGGCGGGGCTTAGCCACACTATTACGTCATAAAGTGGCACATTCCAAAACTAGTCCTTTTCTGAGCTTGGTTTCAATAAAAGCTGTTTTTAAACTGACGAGAAAGTTTTGAGTTTTGAAACTTACATGATGTTTTACATTGACCTGTTACATGTCAAAATATCAAGGGGAATTTGATTTCTCAGTTCATGACCCTTTTAATCAGTGAAGCTTTCACACCAAAACACAAGGCTACACTGACAGTATAAAGGTCCTTCACAAGAACGATAATGATGAATGAATATTAGCATTCACACCAAAGGACGTTCCGTTTACTCTTAGCGCACACATGTTGTGTGGAAATAATCTCAGCACGCCCTTTAAAGTGGGAAGGTTTTCTGATTGGCTAGTGTTATCATCAAAGCGGTAAAAGTGATTAACACCGTTCCTAGGCGTTTCCGTGATTCTCTTTAAGTTAAAACGGTTTTGAAACATTCTCGCTATCGCGTCTTGGTGTGAACGGGCTATTAACGTTGTAAAACAGCATTTCTGTGTCTTGACGTTCTGTATAAGCTGTAAATGTTATTTTTACTTTTCATTTTTCATTACTATAACGTTCACATAAGTTAAAGCGGAGGACAGGACTGATGATGCAACATCTGAGGACACAGATACCAACTCATCTGAACATAAATAAACACTTCATGAGCAGAACGGCATGTTAAGCGGCAGATTTCAGTAAGTGCTCATGCAACAGAACGAACCGAATTGGGACACGTTCCTCCAACAAACTGTCCAAGAAACACAGAATGTTCACCGTACAATAGTCGCATGTTGGTAATGTTTAGGAACTAACCATGAACTAACATTACAAGAGCGTTGCATGGGAACCATTGTCTACGTGCAGAACGTGTATACTGTACAAACACACAAAACATACTCATTCACCAAGAATACACACTCACGAGACATATTTCACCTACACACAGATCAGCGCTGCAAATAGAAGCATATAATGTTCTCATTAGAGCAGAGAGGACGCACGTTTTATAGCCCTTTAAATGTTATGCATAATGTTATCTCATAACTATCATGTTGATTAAAAAGGATTTTATATAAATTCATAGCCGGGCATCTTACCTCTCTCGGGGGTGTCAGCGTTCCGTCCACATCAAACAAGCACAAAACATTGCGACCTCCGGCTAAAAGAGACTTCATATTCATTTCTTCTAGTCCAGCAATTGAAGTAGACATTTAAATTAAAAAAAAGACAATTAAATATATACAAATCAGACTCTAAATGACTCAAGATGAGTTAATGCATAAGAATAATAACGAGACACAGTCTCTCGTCTTTCATGAAACCGAAAGATGAAGTCAATACTGATGAGCATTATTGAGCAAGATTACAGTGTATACTGCAGGCTACATGATCACTGCTGAGTGTGAATGAATCCGCACGTGTAGTTCTTCTGCGGCACTCTCCGCCCTGGGGAGGGGGTCCGCCCCAGCCAATCAACTGCGCGGAGTCTGGTCACGTGCGCGAAGGGGGCGTTACCGCGCTGTGAGATGAGTACATGGAATTCGGAAGCGTCACGTAACAAGCACAGAAAGATAGTTCGACCTCTCACCTACTTCATTACATCTGATCATAACAACAGCAGCAGCAGCAGAGGAAGCATTACAGAGCATCAAGAAAATGAATAAGAACACAAATTAACTGTAATTTACATTTAGACATTTAGCAGACGCTTTTATCCAAAGCGATTTACAAATGAGGACGATGGAAGCAATCAAAATCAACAAGAGAGCAATGATATGCAAGTGCTATATTTTTAATTATATAATAAATAAAAAGAAAACAATAGAAAAAGAATAGAGCAAGCTAGTGTTAGGCCTTTTTTGCTTTTGTACATTGTATAATAAGGTAAAAGAAAACAGACAGAATACAAAAAGATTAGAGAAGCTAGTGTTTTTTAAAAAAATGTTATAAAACAGGCAGTTAGTAGGCTAATAGAGTGCAAGTCTAAAAGGGGATTTTTTTAAAGAATAGAATTAGAATAGGGAGTGCTAGAGTTAAGGGGGTCAAATAAAGATGGAAGAGATGTGTTTTAGCCGATTCTCGAAGATGGCTAAGGAGCTGCTCGGATTGAAGGAAGGGTAACGGCATTAAAGCTGAGAAATCGGAAATTACATATCTGACACACTGAGTATATCTTATTGCAGACCTGCAAAAGAACAAATTAAACTTGGAGAAGTTGTTTCGATTTTCTAGGGGGCAGAGTGTCAATATACACATTTACCCACACACACACACACACACACAGACACACACACACACACACACACACAAACACACACACACACAAACTAACTAAATAAATAAATAAAAGTACATAGGACTTATAAAGGAGGAAAAGCAAATCATTCAAAGGGACGTGCTGAGAAGTGCTCAATGCAGTAAGCCTGCTCAGAAAAGTACAAACACGGTTTAGGTTTGTTTCACTGTTTAAGCATGTTCAGTTTTGAGGTTCACTACATTAGTGAAGCTACTGAGTGAAAGCAGCAGACCTCAGGCTGTTGTCAGTGAGTGTCTGTGAGGTGTTTTTGTTACAGCGCCACCTGGTGACCGACACTCGGTCGTACACAGATCCACCGATCACGGAAACACGAGCGCTCTTCAATTGTCTTCCAAAGAACATTTTGATTAACAACCATTATAAAGCAATTATGTCAACTATTTTCCCTTTGGCTCTAAATTGTTTCACATTTATTGAGGTGCTTCCTCTTGATGTTTTTTTTAAGGAAAGAACATTTCAGTATTTTTGCGTTCGCTCGCAAAACGTTTGTGATGGAAATAATATGAAACGGGAGGGAAAAAACATATTTCAGTTTTCTTGCGAGCAAACGTTTTTAAGCGTAACGTAAAGGTTTAGCGAGCGCACGAAGTATTGAAATTGTGTAGGCTACTAATATTTTTCTCTCCAATCTCATATTTTGTAAATATCAAAAATATAAAAATAAACGATCCAAAAAACATTGTATTGGTCAAAATGATCGATTTTTCTTTTATGCCAAAAATCATTAGGATATTAAGTAAAGATCATGTTCCATGAAGATATTTAGTACATTTCCTACTGTAAATATATCAAAACTTAATTTTTGATTAGTAATATGCATTGCTAAGAACTTCATTTGGACAACTTTAAAGATGATTTTCTCAGTATTTAGATTTAGACCCTCAGATTCCAAATATTCAAATAGATGTATCTCAGCCAAATATTGTCCTGGGGACATTTTCAGAGACATTTGGATATTATTGATTGTAATTTCAGCTGAGGGACCTACATTAAAGGCAAAGAGAAAGGAAAACTTGAAATCGCATCATATGACCCCGTTAAGGCTCATTGATACGGCCAGCAGACATCAGCTTAGATCAAACAGAAAGCAACTAGAGATGAAGCTCTTTTCTCTCAGATCAGGTTGATATTGTTTGTTCACTGTCGGTTGTTCATTAACACGCAGAGACACACCTGAGCGCAGGTTCCTGTAGAAACACAAACGCAGAAAACTCTCACAGCAGTCGATGTATAATGTTTTTTCAGACGTCATGTGAACAGTGTTGTTGGAGGTTAGATCTGACCTTTCTGATGGAATTAATCAAGATTTATGAGCTTCAGGAATGACTGTGGCATTAAACTGAGCAGTGTCTTTTTGAAGGACATTCACTGTGGACGGGATGTTGGGATTGTTCTGGTTCTGGTTCTGGTTCGGTTCTGTGCTCTGTGTCTCTGGGTTTGACGTGTTAAGCTGCACAAACTCCTCGGTCACGTTAAACGTGGTTCTGCTGGAGGATGAAAATTCGCCCTGGAGTCTGAAGTTTGTGCAGGACGCGGTGGAAACGGCTGTTGAAGAGGAAAACGACAAAAAAACCAGGCTGAAAGTGAGCAGATTCATCATAGAACGTTTAGTTCTGAAAATTAAAAATTAAGTACATGTAGGCTTTTAATTCAGTACTAGTAAAGGTGGCCCACCTCTCAACCACTGAGGATCAGGTTTCCAGATCATCCAGCTTTCAGTGAGTCTGAGTGGATTTCAAGAGTCCATGAAACTGGAAACATTATATTTCTGCAGTGACATTCTGTCCTACAAAGTACACTAAAACAATCATAGATTAATCTTAAATTAGATTCATTAAACTTGTATAAAGGATAGAACTTGTGACTTAAGTTGTTCTCCAAAAGAGAAAGAAGACAAAGGTAAAACTATTACAAATAACTATAAGTGATTTAAAACTATTTAGTTGCATATTGAACCATTTATTTGTTGAACAGAATAGAATAGAATAGAATAGAATAGAATAGAAGACAGTGGGGTTTGTGACTGAAGTTGTCCTCTAGGCAAAGAATAATAAGACAGCAGTCGTAAAAACAACAAAAACAGTCAAGTGATTCTTATTATCCCAGTTTTAGGGTCTGTTAAGCTAATTTGTTGAGTTAATTTGTGTAAAAGTAAACTATTTAAGTAAACAAACATGTACAATGCAATGGTCAACAACATACATATAGTTTGTAGCTATATGACCTATGCTTCACCTATTGAAACATAAATTCAAGCCTGTCTGTACTTCAGAAAAGGTAAAACTACACTCTCAGAAAAAAAGGTACAACAGCTGACCTTTTCAAAAGGTACACTTTTGTACCTTTTAGGTACTAATATGTACCTTTAAGGTACCATTATGGACTCTTTCGCCCCAGTGACAGCTTTTGTACCTTTTTTTCTGAGAGTGTACTTTTAAAACCTTAAATTGGACAAAATCAGCATTGATGTGACCTGCTATCAAAACCGTCCTCATGGAACTGCTGATGATTAAATTGCTAATATTTGTTGATAACAATATGATCATTTAAATGTTGTGCATTAGTCAAGACTTAACATGACCGCGTCTCCCAACCTCTAGCTAAAGAATGACAAAATCTCTTTAAATTAAAGGCATGAAGTCATTCAGAATGAGAAGAAAACAAATACCATTTAAGGTTGAGCTGCTTCTAAATAAAGTTAACTAATCAAATCGTTATTGGTCTCCTTCTTGTGCCTTAATCCTAAACCAAACCATAAAGGTCTGCATTATTTCACCCTTGTCAAAATACATCACGTATTAATTTAAACGAATAAATGAGTACATTTATTTGAGCTAGTTTAAGCTAACAAATATCATCAGCAGCACATTATTTACTTTCATACTTCTTGCCAAGAACAGTGTTGGATAAGTTACTGTAAACAGTAATTAAAGGGATAGTTCACCCAAAAATGAAAATTCTGTCAGTAATTACTCACCCTCAAATCCCGTAAGACCTTTGTTCATCTTCGGAACACAAATTAAGATATTTTGGATGAAATCCATTAACTTTCTGACCCTCCATATACACCAACGCAACTGACACGTTCGAGGCCCAGAAAGGTAGTAAGGACATCATTAAAATAGTCCATGTGACATCAGTGGTTCAATCGTAATTTTATGAAGCTGCGAGAATACTTTCTGTGCTCAAAGAAAACAAAAATAGCGCCTTTATTCAATGATTTCTCGCCATCAGGGTTGGGGAGTAATGGAATACATGTAACGGTGTTACGTAATCAGGATACAAAAATCTAGTAACTGTAATCCGTTACAGTTACATCAAAAAACAAAGTATTCAGATTACAGTTACATTTAGTAAAAAGTGGGAATACTATCAGGATTACATTTGTTTAATTTAAAATGAAATAAATGAGTATTTTGACATAACGCTATAGATTTAGCGCTGCTTCATCATAGTTCCTGGTAGAGCCCTGCACGCGCCTCAAATATAGTCCCTAGCCCGGCCCGTGTCCGACAGCTTATCAGAATTACCGGCCCGAGCCCGTCTTTTTCTTTGGTTTTTAATGGCAAAGTGGTCATATTTCTTTTTGTTTCTTTATTAAGTTAATTTAGAAATATGTTTGGAACTTTTTATGTTTGTTAAATTCAAGGTTTTGTTTTTTAAAGGAACGACCAAGCGGCAGTGGCAGACAGTGAGTTGAGCGTTATGTTTGATCAATTTAGCCTTCTCAAACCAACACGACTTAAAGACATAAAACACTTCATGCATTTCACAGTATTAATTTAAACATTTAACCTAGATAAATGAGCACTGTTAGGCGCATATCCAATAGTTTGTGCGGAGAGTGGAAGCTAAAGCGCGCTTTGCAGGACATGGAGGCGCCAGCGCAATCACTGGCATTTTTTTCAGTGGATACGCCGTGATTTTTGACAGGCGCAGTAGCACCGTCTCGTGTTGTTTCCACCAGCGATTTTTTTCATCACTAATTGATGGATGTCTAAAATATAAAAATAAAGCCTAAAACAGTCCCGAGGCCCGGCCCGCGTCTGAACTATGACGTGAA